ATCCATAAAAGCTACTTTAATCCAATCATGCTCCTACTATCGCATCAGTTATCCGTTCCCTTAATTCTGTCATTTCGCTTGCACCTTCCCCGTCTACAGTACAGGTGGTGGAAGCCTCATTCTCCACTTCTGTGAAAGACTGATCTAGACGGTATTCAAAGGCTTCTACAGACACATTTTCTTCATCCTCTTCTGCCAAATGGAAGTCGATATCGTTACATGAATGATGTCTTCTAATGTAATTATGGAGGGTCATTGTAGCAAACACAATTTGTATCTGCTTGGAGCTGCTTGGAGAAATTGTAAGGAGGCATATCACGGAGTATCACCTATTTCTTTTTCCACACACGAAAAGTCCTCTCAATTACACCATGTAACGATGAATGTCTTTATTAAACATTTACTTTCTGCCTCGTGTAATGTTGTTTGCACGTGCAACATCTGATATATGATATCTCGTGTCAGGAAATGGCTTTAGATACCCTCGTTGCAATGGGTAACCAGCATCGACCAAATAGTATTTGTCTGATAAATCAAACAATTAATATGAAGATTCAAGTTGGTCATTCAATGAGCTCAATTCCGAGCGTATCTGTAGGTGGATGTGAAAATTTGGTATTGAGATCCCGCGTCGCAGATTTAAAAACTCGATTGTCATGTGCGCTGCCCTCCCAAAAATTGAAACACATATTGTAGTCACAAACGGCAGTGACATTTTGGGTGGGGCTACCACAAAGGCCGATAAATGCAAACTTATAAATGCCAACTTATCATTATTTGGGATACGTGCGTTAACATGTGTTCCATCAATGACGCCGATGCAGTCCTGGTTGAGGTAATGTTAGGAAGACATATCATTGCATACTCTAATAAAGTTAACTATATTGCTTTCGAGAGAATACCTTGAAGAAGGACATATATCGTACATCCTTTGATATCTCAACATGTGTCTGCTCGAACTTATAATCTAAGGGTCTATTGACATGTGTGGACAGACTAACAAGTGCGCTCACTCAATCCGATTGAGAAGTATATGCTTATTATTTCGAATGAGTGCTGAAACCGCTCCATCGCTCCTCGCATTGACTCATTTTAGGATAATATCAACAGTGTTATTGCGAGCATACTGCCTCGAGGCTTACGCATCGCCTCACGAATGGAAAATTTCTCAATACCTCATTGCGCAATTTTAAAAATTGTATATGTCCATAACTTTAGAATATGTTTTAAAATAAACAAGAAGGTCTAAGTAGAATAAGCTAAGTGAAATCATGAATGTCGGAAAAGGGCATGGAAAGGAGTTAAAATTGTGATATGAGAAGCGTTACATAATTTTATATGCAATCATAAATATGTATTTAAGAAAGGAGGGCACAATTATGATTTATATTTTATATTAAATTAAATTAAAATCAACTTAAGCTAACTTGTAATCTAATAATTTTGAGTGAAGTTAGTTTAAATCAAAATAAATTTAGGTTAAATTCAAATCAAGCAGGTATTAAATTTAGATTACAAGTCAAACTCCCTCAACCTATCAACCAAAAATACACTTGGGAACCAATGGACACAAATCAACCTCAAGATATCCCCTTACAAACACCCACTGAATAAATCTTACAAGTTTCCAAATCTCACTTCCAACACTAATATACTAGTACTAATGTCTATAGACAAGTTAAAAAACATGTGCTGGAAAATTGACAAAATGACTAACCTGTAGAAATCCCCAACTCAACTCAATCTGAGGAACACAAGCTTTTCCAGAGGATGCAAACCAATTTTTTTCTGGAATGTTGAGGTAGCTTCCAAATGCTTAGAAGGACTACATGAGACAAGTTTCTTTTTTCCATTATTTCAATCAAATTTTTCTAAGGGGACTTGTTAAATTGGGGACCAAAGAATCGTTGATCATATATGTTCCCTATTATGGATTGTTTCTATCATTTTTTTTCAAGACATGGAAAAAAAATCTAAACAAAAAACCATCAATATAATAAAAAAATAAGTGGTTCAAATTAGAACATCATCCAAGTCATATCCCTGAAGTATTACTTGCAAATGCACTAACCTAGTTCCACAAAAAGGGGGGTTAGAAATTACAAATTGATCTCGCTTGTAATATGCACACTAAGAACAGGTTTCATCAAAAGAAACTTTAGCAAACGATATGCTACCAAATGAAGACTAGTCCTCATTTAAAAAGAAAAATTATTAATCACCTCAGCTGCAGCATCAAGCTGCAGGAAGACTGGAACAGGAGATGTGAAAGTAGGTTGCAGGGCTCCTGATCTCTCTCGAGTTTTATGATCCAGAACCTCCAACTTAAAAAGTATACTCTCGAACCTGTATTTAGCATATGCATGTGTGTAACAATGATAACGAAAATTACAATTAGCGTTATAGCAGACAGATTTGTGGTAAAATCTATGTAATCATTGAAGGATTTCTATCACTGGCAAGTAGTTCAGTGAATAAGATGGCCTCTTGTGCAATGAATAAATGGTATTTAAACTAGAATGATTATCAGTGTCATCTAGAGCCTAGTGCAAATTAATAAAATAAATATCACATCAGTGTACGCTATTGAACAATTTTTATAAGGCATTTTGCATCAAGGTCATCAAACCAAATTATGACGAAGGGATTAAACAAAAGCACCCCAGAAACTGAAGCAAATTTTAATGATCCAGTAGAACGTATTGTTTCGTCATAGAAAAAAAAATGGCATGTATACTAGTGCCAAGAGCCTCATTGATCCCTATCAACATTAGAAAGAATTTTCACCCAAAAGATTAATTGAAGCATTGAAAACATGTGAGGCCTCACCATGCTCGTCATCACTTGATGGTCACATAGTTGCTTACTGTAATCGAACTGAAGTTCACTCTTGGCACAATAATGAGGTGATCACTGCGCCAGACTATTCTTCAAAAATAGAATATAGAATACCTCAAATTGTAGAAAAATATTGGTTATAATGTTAGTCCAAGCAATTTACGATCCAATAAATGGGAAGTTCTACTCCAGCCAACAGAGAAAAAAAACTAGTCTTTATACAAAAACTATTCAAAGAGCAAAATTAAGTTTTGTGCAACACATCACTGGGAGAAATATAAGAAATGTCCATGAGTGCAAATTTGAACTGGAATCAGGCATGACAGGTTTATGAAACCAATAAGAATTATCAAAGATAAAACATATTGTGGAGAAGGTAGATGGGATAAAACCACGAAGAACAACAACAAAATATGGGATATTTTGGGAGAAGACATACCTGCTTCAATCAGGTTTCGGTTTTGAGCGGGGCGGAAGGATGCCAGCTGC